TCTCACCAAGTTGCCCAGGCGGGTCTCGAACCCGCAGGCTCAGGCAATCCATTCACCTCGGCCTCCCAAAGGCGCGGGATTCCAGGCTGAGCCACTGAGCCTGGCTATTATTCCCATTTTTAAAGGAAGAAATCAAGGTCTGGAGAGGTGAAATGACGTGTCCAGGGCCACACATCCTGAACACGACTGTGCCCATTGACTCCCACCTGCCTGTGTGCACGGCTACCCCGCAGAGGTGAGGTTTCTCATTTCAGCTGCACTCGGAGGAGTAAAGTTAGACTACATGTCACCCACCTCGACTCTTTTCCCCGTTTTGAAAAGGAATTTGTTTGTTTAATGAGAAACATAAGGAAATGTTTCCTAAGACTGTTGAGTGATTTCAGACCAGGTGTTCTCTGTTTCTCATCTTGAAAAATTGTTTTGTACTTTCCTCCATTTATACTTATACTCAAATAACCTTTAAGATGTATGATTTTTTAAAAAAAATAAGAGAACACTTACACTTAAGAGTGTAGAACTTTTCTATGTGTTTTTTTAGAGACTGATTCCCCATTATAGAGCCAGATATCCAAATTGTTTGTAGACAATAGATATTATAATGTGAAAGGAATCCCCTAGACATGCAGCCTTGGGTGTAACATTCAAATACAGTTGCGCTCCGTGGCTCACGCCTGTAAACCCAGCACTTTGGGAGGCTGAAGTGAGAGGATTGCCTGAGTTCACAGGTTCCAGACCAGCCTGGACAACTTGGCAAGACCACATCTCTACAATAAATCAAAAAATTAGCCGGCCGTGGTGGTGCGTGCCTGTAGTTCCAGCTACTTGGAAGGCTGAAGCGGAAGGATCGCCTGAGTCCGGTAGGTTGAGGGTGCAGTGGCCATCAGCATGCCATTGCATTCCAGCCTGAGTGAGACTCCAACTCAAAAACAAAACAAAACAAATACATGGGGATGTTTGGTGCCTAGTCCTCCTCCCTCTTTATAAAGTAGTTGCCTACTTGGAAAATGAATAAATCGACAGGGGCTGGGCACTTTGGCTCATGCCTATAATCCCAGCACTTTGGGAAGCCGAGGCAGGAGGATCTCTGGAGCCCTGGAGTTCAAGACAGCCTGTGCAACACAATAAAACCACATCACTAGAAAAAAAAAATTAACAGTTGAAGAGGCACATACCTGTAGTCCTAGCTACTTGGGAGGCTGAGGTGGAAGGATCATCTGAGTCCGGAAGGTTGAGGTTGCAGTGAGCCGTGATCGTGTCAGTGCACTCCAGCCTGGGTGACAGAGTAAGACCCTGTCTCTAAATAAATAAACTTTCCACGCCGGGCTCGGTGGCTCAGCCTGTAATCCCGCACCTTTGGGAGGCTGAGGTGAGTGGATTGCCTGAGCCCGCGGGTTCGAGACCCGCCTGGGCAACTTGGCAAGAACTCATCTCTACAATAAGTTAAAAATTAGCTGGGCGTGGTAGCGCGTGCCTGTAATTCCGGCTACTTGGAAGGCTGAGGAGGGAGGATTGCTGGAGCCCAGCAGGTTGAGGCTGCAGTGGCCAGGAGCAGCCACTGCACTCCAGTCTGGGCGGCAGAGTGAGACTCCAACTCAAAAAGATAGATAGATAAATAAATAAATAAATAAATAAATAAATAAAAGTAGGTAGGAAAAATAATTTTTATCACTGGCTGTCCTAACCAGTACAAAACAGCAAGTCTTCTTTTAAACTAAATTTATAGCAGGTCAAAGAGTTTGGGAAGTGAGAATAACCTCAAGCAGATATTTTACATAATTATGATTTATATTAAAATTTAAGCAGTCTACATGAAGGATAATTTCAGTACCAAAGGTAAAGATTATTTATTTAATATGAATTTTATTTATTTATTTATTTAGTTGAGTTGGGATCTCACTCTGTTGCCCAGGGTGGAGTGCAGTGGCATGCTCAGGGCCACTGCAGCCTCAACCTGCAGGGCTCAGGCGATCCTTCCACCTCAGCCTTCCAAGTAGCTGGAACTACAGGCATGCACCATCACGCCTGAGTAATTTTTTGATTCATTGAAGAGATGAGGTCTCACCAAGTTGTCCAGGATGTTCTCAAACCTATGGGCTCAGGCAATCCTCTCACTTTATTATGAATTTTAATGACTAACAATATTAGCATTAATAAAAACTATGCTCAAATCAATCAATAATAATAATAATAAACCTTGAATAGTTCTCTCAACCATCACTCCTGGCAGAAATGAATTATATGGCACTGAATTTCATAATGTAAGGAGAAATAGCAGAATTTTAGAATAAAAACACAGGTCTTTTCCAATGAAAAAAAAATCAGCTGGGCTCAGTGGCTCATGCCTTGTAATCCCAGCACTTTGGAAGGCAGAGTGAGAGGATTGCCTGAGCCCGGGGGTTCAAGACCAGCCTGGGCTACTTGGTGAGACCTCGTCTCTACAATAAATAAAAAAATTAGCCAGGCATGGTGGTACACACCTGTAGTTCCAGCTACTTGGAAGGCTGAGGTGGAAGGATTGCTTGAGCCCTGCTGGTCCAGGCTGTGGTGTCAGTGATCATGCTACTGAACTCCAGCTTGGCTGACAGAGTGAGACTCAGACAAAAAACAAAACAAAACAAACAATCAAAACAATTATTTCACACAGCCAGTCACGTTTTATTTTATTTTATTTTATTTTATTTTTTGAGTTGGAGTCTCACTCTGTCACCCAGACTGGAGTGCAGTGGCTGCTCCTGGCCACGGAAGCCTCGACCTGCTGGGCTCCAGTGATCCTGCTGTCTCAGCCTTCCAAGTAGCCGGAATTACAGGCATGCGCTACCACACCTGGCTGATTTTTTGATTTATTGTAGAGATGAGTTCTCGCCAAGTTGCCCAGGTGGGTCTCGAACCCGTGGACTCAGACAATCCACTCACCTTAGCCTCCCAAAGGCGTGGGATTACAGGCTGAGCCACCGAGCCCGGCGGCCAGTCACATTTTAAAAGGTCTGAACCCAAATGTGTTTTGTAGTCTTACCATAGGAAACTCAGTGGTTTTGCCACTTTATTTTTCAAAATTATCCTTCCAAACATGGTTCATTTGAACTTCATGTTCTCAGAAGCTCTTATTTGGAAAGCTACTTTACACACTTAACAAATGGAAAATGAGGTCGGGCTCGGTGGCTCAGTCTGTAATCCCAGTACTTTGGGAGGCCAAAGCGAGTGAATTGCCTGAGCCGGCGGGTTCGAGACCAGCCCGGGCAACTCGGTGAGACCTCCCCCCCATCTCTACAATACATCAAAAAAATTAGCTGGGCGTGGTAGTATCCGCCTGTAGTTCCGGTTACTTGAAAGGCTGAGGCGCAAGGATTGCTGGAGCCCAGCAGGTTGACACCGGGGTGGCTGTGGGCATGCCACTGCACTCCAGTCTGGGCGACACAGTGAGACTCTGACTCAAAAAAACAAAAAATAAGCCGGGCTTGGTGGCTCAGCCTGTAACCCTGCGCCTTTGGGAGGCTGAGGTGAGTGGATTGCCTGAGCCCGCGGGTTCGAGACCCGCCTGGGCAGCGAGACCTCATCTCTACAATAAATCCAAAAATCAGCCAGGCGTAGTAGCCTGCGCCTGTAAATTCCAGCTACTTGGAAGGTTGAGGCGATAGGATCGCCGGAGCCCAGCAGGTCGAGGCTGCGGTGGCCGGGAGCGGCCACTGCACTCCAGTCTGGGCGACAGAGTGAGACTTCAACTCAAAAATAAAATTATAAATAAATAAATGGGAAATGTTATAAAACTTTTCTGTCATTTTTACACCAACAATCTAAAACAGGTCGGGGAAACCTTCAAGCAAATTAGGCTTCCACAGGCAAAGTATTTATTCAATTGAACTGATATTGCCACCGGTGAACTATAGACTACTCTAAACTACAAAGCCTTGGCCCACTTGCCAGCACCATCAGTATCACCTGGAGCTCACTAGAAATGCACACTCTAGGGTTCCACCCCATACTTATTGAGTCAGCAAGTTCTCCAGTTAATTGACTCCTGCCCGTGATCCCAGCACTTTGGGAGGTCAAGGCAGGAGAATAGCTTGAGCCCAGGAGTTTGAGCCTAGGTGACATATTAAGACTTCCACCCCCTATCTCTACCAAAAAAAAAAAAAAAATAGCCAAACGTGATGGTGCGAGCCTGTAGTCCCAGCTACCCATGAGGCTGAGGTGGGAGGATCACTTGAACCCAGGAATTGGAGGCTGCAGTAAGCCGTGATCATGCCACTGCCTTCCAGACTGGGCAACAGAATGAGACCCTGACTCAAAAAATAAAAAATAAATTGGAAAGAACTGATCTCATGAAATCTTACAGCTAACCCAGAGACCTAAGAGGATGAGACTTTGAACAAAAATGGGAAAGAGTGACTTCAGGGGAATAGTTCATACATATATCATTTCCCTAACATTTCATTTTTCTGTTTTGTGCCTTGCTTTGAAAAGCCACAGTTGTCTTGGCATGCTTTTGACTTAAACCATTTTCTGTGCAAAATTTCTGTTCATGTATTTAAAATGTGTGTGGAAATAATTTCTCTTCCCCAGCACCTGTGCCTGGCCCTTTGGAAATGTGTTTCTTGCTGACATGCGTGTCTCTCCTTTCCAGTCCTGACATAGCCCTCCCCGAGGAGCAGTCACATTCCAGCTCCCAGTGCGCCCCTCTCCACTGTCTCTCCAAGCCTCCTCACCCCTAGGCTTCATCTTCCGTGGACAAACAGCTGGGGTGACCGTGATGTAGCCATACACAAGATACTGCCCGAGATCCAGCGGGTGTTTTCTTCTCGGTTGTGAGATGTACACTGGACTCATATCCGCCGTTTTGGAAGATGAGGGAAAGTCGAGAAGAATAACACAAAGCACAGACGTGATAAAACATTGTGTGGTTTCTCCGAGTCACAGATAAACTTCTGCAATCAAGTGGCTACAGTTCAGTTAAGTTAAAAAAAACCAACAAAACAAGAAACGGGAAACACATATCTCAGATGGCTGGCTTTACCTCGATAGCATAAGAGAGACCTAAGACAATGTAAAATACATGTATTGTAAAAATCATCTTTCCTCAACGCTCCAAATTCAGTTAGAGAAGTTGATTCCAATTTTTTTGGTCATGGATATTTATTTTGTACTTTTATTCACAAATAGTTCAACATGATTTATGTCTATAAAAGTAATTTCTGTGAGAGGTAAATTCATTTTTTTTCAAATAAGCATAATTTGCTCAATTAAGTATGAGTTTCAGTTTAGTTTGAAATCTGGAATTGGCCAGACCATGGTCATTTTTCTTGCACAAAATGGTAAATGAGGTGCATCAGAATGTTAACAATAATTGTCTTTTGCTGCTACACTGACATTGTTTATGCACTTATTTTCTAATCAGTAGTTCATTAACTGCTGGGTTTTGTTTTTTGTTTTTAACAAGAGTTCTTCACTGGACATTATTAAGTAAATCTAAGAAAGAGACTAAGTTATGATTCATTGACTTATTCAAGTTTTGATGACATCTTTAATTTTTTTAAATTGCAGTCAAGTAGAAGTCTTGGTGCTGCTCTTTGTACGTGTGTATGTGTGTGATAATGTTAAAGAAGGCTAAATATCTTGAAGGGAAAAAAATGGTGTGTTTAATGACCAGAATTTTTTTTTTACATCTCCCAAATTCAGGGTCCTACTATGAGTCTCTCCTGATAAAAGGTATCAAGTACAAATGGGAAACTATATACATAGATAGGTGTAAGATAGCCTTTGGTTCATCAGTTTACCCAGAAAGTATTCAAGTTCTTATTAAAATTGTATGTTTTGTTGTTGTCAGGTTTTTTCATAATGAATCTTCCTTGCCAAAAAAAAAAAAAAAACAATAGATGATAAACCTTAGCACATTGTCTACTTTTGACAAACACTCAGGTGCCTACAATCATATTATATTGAGATAATACATGTTCCTAGTTCATTTACAGATTCCGCTGGGTAACTTTTATGACTTGATTTAAGGCAGTGGATTTTCATAGCAAAATTTATTTTGCACATAATCTGACAAACAAGGAAAACAGTGAATTGAGCTGAAAGGTCTAACAATCTTGGGCTCATTTACAATCAAGTGCTGCCCGCTCAATTGCTCCTCGCCCTGATTCCTTGTCTTTGTCAGGTAGCCTTAACTTATTTAAAACCATAGGGTTTGACCTTTTCATGTAACGATAGCTGTAACTTCTCTTCAAAACAAAAACAATCTTCACTGTTAACCCAAAGGATGGTTAACGGTATAGGCGCTCACAATGGAGGCCTAGGAGCCACTCTTCTTACTGAGCAGGGGTGGGTGGCATGGGAGTGGAGTGGTCCATCAAAGACCAACCGATGAGTTGTCACTGACACCTGCTAAGTTGTGGTCGCTATTACCAAAGCAGCCAAGAGGTTTTGCGTTCCTTGTAGGAGTGCTATTTTCAACAGTGTCATTTATTATGCAACTTGGAGTAAATAGTAGAAATCTTCACCACAATGGGAATTCAGGTTAAAGTCCAGAGACAGAAACAAAACAATTCTTCATAAAGTCCTAACGGTAGCAGCCTAGCCTTCTGCTCCCTCCTACCTGCATTGCCTTGCCATTACTAATAATTTTCTTCATTTTACTGGTGCCAGCATTAGTGAGACCGTGTGGATTTTGTTAGCGTTCAGTTAAAGAAGGCTTACACCTCCCCACACACACACCTTTACCTTTTCTTTAATTTTTTTTTTCCTTTATCAATCATTGTGTGTTTGGACCTGAAAACTGTCATAGCTGCTAAGTTGATTTTGAATAAGAGCTGTCTGTGCTTGAGGAAAAATCTGCCTTTTTAACAAGTACCTCAGAACATTGTCCTCTGTTGCCTCATCAGTTTTGCTGGGTGGAAATTGGGCAGTAAGTGTCTGTGTGTAAGGACTGGATGGTACTGCCTATTGGCTGTGCTGTATTTCCACTCTTATTCCCTTGCTCTGGATTTAGGACCCAATGAAAAGCCAGGTCATATACAAAACATTTATTTCTTCCCATACAAAGTTTATTACGAAATCTATTAGAAATTACTTGTATTTCAGTTCTTTATCTTAATAGGGTGGGAAAAGCTTGTTTGGGAATATTAATTCTATAAAGACAATTTTAGCGCAACTTTGCAAAGAAGATATAAAAACTTGGAAATAAATTTCTCATTTTCAGCACAAAATTAGGTGATAGTCCCTAAGCAGTAAAAGAGAATGCCTTGAATTTACACTGTGGCATTGTTTAGTATAGCTTAAACTGAGCCATAGTTCTATTTATTTTTAGGCATTTTAAATGAGTAAATATATGTAATGTTGATAAAAATCAGTACCTGTAAAGATAACGTCAGGAATTCAAAAGGAAATTGAAGAACTAGCAAGAACCAAAGGAAACCACCTCAGTAAGACTAATTAAAGACATATTTGGAGAGGAAAAATAAACTGTAGAAAAACATGAAAAATACTGGCTAATTATTGCAAACATGGTGAGCCAAGATCAAAGGTAACTAGCAGGAGTGGTTAGCAAAGTAAACAGGTAGTTTTTTTTAAAGTAAGCACAATTACTCTACTGAAAAGATGTTAGTATACATACAGAAATGCGTTTCCTACTGAGGATTTTCCTTAATTAAAGATAACAATAAAAAGGAGCAATAAATTGTCTTTGACCTGAGTACTGGGGCAGAAGGATGTCTGGATTAATCTATCAATGAGCCCATGACTCGCCAGACCCCTTTCACACGCCCATTTCTGGATTCCAATAAAAGGAATTTGGGGAATTCTAGAAAACAGAAAGCTATTACATAATTAAGAAAAGACCTATTTAGAAATTATACTTTAACCTAAGGAAGAAGAGGTACAATAGTGATCTTCAGGAAAAGAGAATTTAACAAATGATAGATACCAGCTATAGATATTGTTAGTAAAAGACTAGAATAAGAAATTCTTCAGTGTAAGGATTTATATATTAACTCTAGGAAAGAGATTTTTAACAGTGGGAAATTAATCATTGACATTGATAATCATAAGGAAGATTTGTTTTCTAAATATTGAATATCATTGGTGGCCTAGTGAAGATTAAGTTAAGTAGCAAGATATTTTATGATAATGCATTATAGTTCTGGAGGCCCATAAGCCTATGATTCTTTTATTTAAAAATTTTAAATACATAAGGTTTTACTGGTTAGTCATAAAAAACTTTATATTTGAACTAGGATGGCAATCTTAATTTTTCCTTATTTGGTTTTTAAAAAAGGATTGTTGGTATTATTTTTTCTGCCCTCTGTGTTTCATAATCTTTAAAATTGTCCAGAATGTGGTAGTTTTACTAAAAAATCCTCAGTTGTCAGAATCTAAAAAAACAAATGTCCTCAGGAATACTTCAGAAATAAAAGATTTGTAATCCCTTGGCATGGGAGCAGATACCCTCAAATTTTATCTTCGTCTAAAAGAATCTTCGATCGACAGCACTTGCTTTTTGCATGCTTTGAGAAATACTCCTGTACAGATAAGTTCTTCTGTTTCAAACAAGCATGAAACATTGGTCCAATAAACTAAGAATGTGGAAATTTCCTGATATACTGTATGAGATAAGATTCTCTACGCTTCTTGAGTGGAGGTTACAAACCATGACAAGGAGGAAGTGAAAAGTATTTTCTTCTAGGATAAGAATGTCAAATTTAAGGTATTATTGTCATAATCAACCAGCCAAAATATATAACCTGCCTCTGAGACACATCAGAGAAGCTGACAGATTTCCAGGAAGAAACTGGGCTCCTTCAAATCAAGGATGCCACAAATGCATCAGCATGGTAGATATAAAGTAGGACTAAATTGGAAAGAAACTCTTAGGATAAAGTCCAAAAATTTAAAAAAGTTTGCCCTCCAGTTTTTGTTGTTGTTTTTTATTTGTTCATAAAGTAGAATGATTTAAAATAATCCTGCAAAAAATTTACAAGAATATGTTTTCAAATAAAGAGAACATAGTTATTCAAAAAGCTGTTGAATTGGAGTTATGATAGATAAGTTATGATAGATAACATGATCAGTGCTGATATTGACAAGTAATTTTTTACCTTAAAATCAATTTCTATAGACATATAAGATCAATCTAGCTCCTGAGGGACCTTTTCCATTGTCTGTAATAATGCCTTCAGATGAATTGTGTCTGAAATTAAATTCATCTTTATTTAAATACCAACTTAACTTCTAAAGCCCCTGATGTATTGCGTTTAGAGTCTGATCCTATTATGTTGACACCTGAAAGATTTCATCTAGACATCTCTTTCGTCCTTATTACTCAAATGTAATTGAAAGAGATATTTAGTATTAAGATATGATCCCCCACTGAGGATTTTTCAGAAGTAACATTCTACTTAAGAAGAGGAGCAATTAACTGCCTTTAGTATAAGGGCGAGAGTGCATTTAAGTATGCAGTGTAAAATGTTTGCATGAGATAGTTCACATCATGTAAGCTTTCCCATGTTCATAATACAAACACAATAGAAGTCTTATTTCTCTTGTGACCTTCTATCCATTAGGAATGTAAGGAGATTGTTACCTATATCAGGTCTCCTTTCCATATTGAAATGCATGGCTCGAATCCTCAGTATATTTTTATCACGTTCCTCTGAAGTTATTTAAAATTTGCCCTATTTAAACTGAAGCCTGAACAACTGCTGAGCCAGATTATTTCTGTGATTGGAGTTTAACTGCTGTAGAACACTTATTGAAAACACATTTTTTATTTTAACTTTTTTTCTCTCGGAATTATTCTCTGATCATTACTGTTCTCTAATGAAAACATTGAGAAATAAATCTGATACCTCTTAGTGTAAATGTATTTTTCTTTTGAAAAAGTCATTTTTAAACAAAGATCAGAGAATTATAAAGGGAAATATCGCTTTGTTTAAAAATCATTATTCAGTGATAATGGAGATATAGAAAGAATCATTGGGTTCATAGGTATGATTTGTGCAGCAAATCTTAGAGGAAATGTGTCATTTTAAACATTGCCACAAAATTTTTAAGCTCAATGGTTTGACTGAGTCAATTAAATAATTCTTTGGGAATTCTTATGGCATTTTTGTAATTTACTCAGTGTTTTTCTTTGCATGATTATGCATATGTGATGAACCATACATGATTCTGACATTGTATTTCTTTCTAGTATTAACATTTGTGTCGTGTGGCCAACCCTGATTTGTATACTGTATGATTATTATTGTAATGATTCAGCTATTCCTACATTTAATTGCAGTTTTATTATTATGTCTTTTAGGGTTAAATGATGTGAATTGTTTCCAACTACTGATAATACCACACAAAAACATGACTAAAAGACTGACCTAAGACACTGTTTTGTTGCTAATTATTTTTTAAAATCTGAATTTCAAAGGAACCATTCTCAAAGACACATGCATTTATTTTCAATTCAAAAAGTTCTTATGAATTTATTACTGCTTGTACTTAAAAATTTTTTTTATTGTAGACAATCCTAAGCGAATGTCTCATGGGAGAATCCATATGACACATGCCTGTATTTGTGTAACCTGATCATGCACTCCTTGGTTGGAAAAGGCACTCCAGTGCTAAGAAAATAATCAGAAGCCAATATATTAGTTCTTTTATGTTGGTTTATCTTACCAACTGAATATGGTGTAATGCATAACTTTTTCCAGTAAATAAACTGTTTATCCTTTGTTCATTTCATCAATGTTACCTTTTTATCAGTTTGAGCAATTTTTCTGTTATGTCATTTGAATCTATATTTGCTAAAAGGAAAAATGTGTATGAATTTCTATGTAATCTACATATTTATTCAAAGTGAGAACTTATTTGGTACTAAAGC